TAGATTCACAACGTTGACTAAGCAAGCATTAAAAAATTAACAAAACAAAAATCATACCGGTGTTGTTCGGTGTACGGTTGCCTACAGAATACGGTAGTACAGTGGTTCCCAACCTTTGCTCCACCAAGGACCCCCCTTTTATTATCATTTTTTTTCTCCACGGACCCCATGTTTTCGAAAGATTCCGCCTACCCAACAAACTGTTTTTATTAACTAATAATTAATTAGTTCTCCCACTTTTCACTATCAAATAAAAGGCATATATAACTGAGTGTGCAATTAAAAAGAACATCAGTATTAAAAAAAACTTACTTGTTTACTGAGATGGTATTGCCTACGCGGACCCTAGGTTGGGAACCACTGCTGTATACTTTTATTTTGACCTATTTAACCAAGAGAATAAGTTACTGGTTTTAACTTATATGTACACACGTATATATAATGTATGGCATATAAAGTATTTTTCGTTCAATTTAAAACAAATATGTGTATTCACCACCGAACAAGAGCAAAGGTATCCAAAATTGAACCATTTGTATTATCAGATACCATAGTTGTTATGTAAAGACAGATTGAGCATATAAATAAATTCGGTAGAAACTTCCAAACAATATCCCAGAAGATATAATTATAGATAAGACGCAGAATAGATAACCCATGAAAATAAACCCAACCCTTTCCTCTAGCGACTTCCCATCAATATTATATAGATCAATAACTTTCTATCTGGTTATAGTAACTAAAATTAAAAAATGTTTCATTCACAAATTCTACAGTCATGTTATTTGAAGATAAAAAACATTATTGTTCTTAATAAAAGCTGAAAAAGTACAAACCCAAGCTAAGATAAAATTACATAAAAATCATCTACCTTCGTAAACTTACCTCCTGTATGCAAGAGATCCTTATCTTGTTCTTTCCAACTCAGATCAAGCAAGTGCACTATCTTAAGGACCAACATACACGATTTCTTTAAATAGTTAACTACGACGGAATCGAGATGCCTAACGGTGTAAATTATAGAACATTCTGATACTTTGTACGACATAGCTATATAAGATTTTATTTTAGATCATAGATAATTCATACCTTTTTCATTGATTATAAACACGATAAAATGTTCTAATTATTAATTGTTTTCAAGTTTAATTCTTTAATATTGCTTATTTTGTAAAAATCATAGAAAAGTGAGTACATAAATGATTTTTTTCATTATCCAGTAACATATATATTTTATCCTTACTGTTATCTCGTGACTCTTTAATTTAGGAAAACCGTTATTACAATATTTTACAAACTGAATTGAAAAAAATCCAATTTGTTGACCCCTACAGTGCAAAAAAAAAAAACTACTGACCATAATAAAAAAACAATGATGAGGCCCGGCATGGCCAGGTGGTTAGGGTACTCGACTCGCAATCTGCGGGTCGCGGGTTCGAATCCCTGTCACACAAAACATGCTCGCCTTTCAGCCGTGGGAGCGTTATAATGTGACGGTCAATCCC